TATGTGAAGTGTCAGGCTCCCTAACAAATAACTCCTGCCAGACAAATCAAGTTCCTCGTCTTAGAGCCGAGGCTAAATAGTTTATAGCTTTAATCTGCTCACCGAGGTGTGCAGTCTATGACAGTAATTATAAATGCAAGGAGAAATTATAGCTGAATGCTTTAACTGCATTAGGAGCCGTCTGATGAACAATCATGAGCTCCTGCTCGCTTCCAACAATAGAGGGCAAGTTGGTGTCAACGCTGGAGAGATTTCAGTTCTGCATGGTTTTTTCTCCCATTTACCATGGAATGTCACTTGTCTCCTATAACGCAGAAAAAAAAGCGCCGCAGAAAGCTTTAAACTTGATAGTTAAAAAAAAAAAAAGACAAAGAGAGAAATGCAAGAGAAAACTGTTTATCATTATGACTTTTTTTTCCCGGTTTTGTTCAGCGGCAGGTTTAGTTTCAAATTAGTTCGTTGAAGGTAACTGCTTGTTTACTTACTAGGAGCCTTAAAAAAAATCCCTCCTGAAGCCATTTTCAAGAAATCGTTACAGAGAGAGACTTCTTTAAATGAAGGGCAGGTTCAAAATCAGCCCAGGCAGGAGCTCCAGGGACGGTGGGTGTCCCTCCCCATGACCCTGCCCCCCACCTGTATCTACCTAAGCTAATGACACCATTTAGCTCTTTATTTTCCCTCCTCACTTTCACAGAGAGACGTTTTTAATTTAGCTGAAGAATTACACAAATGTATTTTAAAGACATAAATCCATATAAAAAATATGAGCTAATTAAAACATTGCACTCCCTGTCGCTCATGGATTTTCAATTTGGCGAAAGAAAAAAGAATTGCATCTGGTTAAATGAAAAGATGATACTGATGGCAGATTGGAGTAAATGAAAAATAATGTTACTCTATATTAAAGCACCAAATTATACACGTCAGGGTTGAGCGTTCAGAGGGCCGAGCGAGGGGAAGTGCGAGCGGGACGCAGCGCGCTCAGGCGCCAGGGGAGTGGGCCGCCGGGTCAGACGAGAGCGGCAGGAGGGACGGCGCTTGTCTCCGGCTGCGCTGGAGATGCGGTCATCTCAGGGCTGACCCTGTGTCCTGCCTCTCATTTGCCACCCAGGATGAATCCCAGAATGTCAGGGTGAGGGTTTGAAAAAATCCTTAGACATACACGTTCACCGGAATTTGGGTTGGTTCTTGGCTAGACACTGTGTGGTAAACGCGTGATTTCCTGACCGAACAAGGCCATCGCCACTCGGAGAGCGAGGGTGCGTGGCTTCGCCCCGCACGTCCGGCCCAGGCCCCTGAGTCCCAATATTTGGTTTGCAGTTGAACCTCCAAGAGGCCAAGGAGAGGCTTTGCTCATCGCGTGACTCTTAGGCCATGTTTACTGGCTTTTCTCTGCTCTGTCGACCGTGGACGCCAAGCCTGAGTAGCACCCAGAGAGCATCAGGCAAGGTGGAAGAGAGACTGAGCGGCCGAGGAAAGCTGGTGAGTCTGGCGCGGCCCGGGTTCGAATCCCACCTGTGCATTTACTGTGTGTTCCCGGACAAATCAAGAAACCGTCTGAGCTATTTGCAATATCAGGCTGAATGAATAACTGTGCCCTGCTCGCAGGAAGGGGCCAACGAGTGCTAGCTTTGCTGTGGCTGTAATCAAACAGCAGGTTGGGGGCCCATGGAGCACCTGCCTCGGTATTAATCAGCCGGGAGGACTGCAAGTTTTATACACTTCGGGGGAGGCTGAAGAACACGGCAGGGCCCTGTAGCTAGCTATAGCCTAGAGTTAATTTTCGTTGTGAACCTACTACGTGCCAGGCTTTATGGAAAAGAATTGCATACATTAACTTGATTCTCACAACTTTCTGTGTCCACATTTTACTGACACAGAAGCAGGCACGTCATGAGTTGGGGTTTGAACTCAGGCTCGAGGGCCTTGGCAGCCAGAGTTCCTCCCCTAACATCATGGCGCCTCTGAAACTCCATTCCCCTCTTTGGTCCCCGTGGACTGGGAAGACGCCTGCCCTCCCGTGGGCTCCATTCAACGTTTATGCCGGCCGGCCCAACGATGTATCTGTCACTAGCCTCAAGGGTGTACTTTTGTCCTGGCCAGTGGTCCATTCCCTGGGATTAGCACCGTGCTGGGCATGGAGTGATGGCTTTCGAGACGGGTAATACTGAGTGAGTGAGGCTCAGAGACTGCGGAAACTCGGGGACGCTGCGCAGAATCTCTCTGCTTGTATTTTCTCTCCTCTAACATGGTTAAGTCTACCTCTACCTCGCAGGGCTGTCTGTGGGAATATAGTGAAATAGTGTTTGTGAAGAGCCTGTTGCAGGCCCAGCACACCGGGCTCTTATATAATCAGTACAACTGCCGGGTCACCATTATATGTCCATTGTGAGCGAGAGGCTGCTGCAAAGCAGAAGCACAACTGATATGATGAAGGATGAAAGGAAAGCAGGGAGGGAAGTCAGAAAGGACGGAAAGAAGGAAGGAAGGAGGGAGGGAAGGAGGGGAGGGGGGAAGGAAGGAGGGAAGGAGGGAAGGAAGGAAAGATTTATTTAACAGATGAAGATCGATGTCTCTTATAGACATTAATCAGTCCAGCCCACATCAACAATAAATCAACAAACAAGTGCTGGCGAGGTCGTGAAGGAAAGAGAACCCTCGTTGGTGGGATTGTAAACTGTTGCAGCCACTATGGAACACAGTATGGCGGTTCCTCAAAAAATTAAAAACACAAGTGCCTTATGACCCAGCAATTCCACTTCTGGGTATCTATCCAAAGAAATCCAAAACACTAATTTAAAAAGATGTATGCATCCCTACGTTCACTGCAGCATTATTTACAATAGCCAAGATATGGAAACAACCCAGATGTCCGTCGATAGGCTACTGGATAAAGAAGCTGTAGTGCTTATGTAAAATGGAATCTTACTCAGTCGTATAAAGGAATGAAATCTTGCCATTTGCGACATGAATGGACCTAGAGGGTATTACGCTAAGTGAAATAGATCAAAGACAAATACCATATACTTTCACTTATATGTGAAATCTAAAAAAATAAATGAATAAACAGAACAGAAATACACTCATAGGTAAAGAGAGCAAATTGGTGGTTGCCAGATGGGAGTGGGGTTGGGGGGAAGGGTGAAAAAGGTGATGGGATTAAGAAGGACAAATTGCCAGTTATAAAAAGTCATGGGTTGTAAAATACAGCATAAGGAACATAGTCAATGATATTGTAATAACTTTGTATGGTGTCTGGTGGATACTAGACTTACTGGGGTGATCACTTTGTAGGTCATATAAGTGTCTAATTGCTATGTTGTCCACCTAAAATTAGTATGTCAACTGTAATTGTAAAAAAAAATTTTACTCCTCTAGACGGCTGTATAATCCATATTGTTAATGTTGCCAGATTTAGCCAATAAAAATACAGAATGCGTACTTAAATTCGAATCTCAGATATAATAATGAATATTTTTTAGTATAAATATGGCCACTGCACTATTTGGTACATACCATTACTAAAAACTTATTTGTCACTTATCTGAAATTCAAATTTAACTGGACATCCTGTGTTTTATCTGTCAACCTTACATGCTGTTCACTGTGAACATGGATTTTTATAAAATCATCCACAACAAAGGTGGCAGCTTATTGGAGTAGAATTCATTCCTGCCTCCGATTTCAAGGCCAAGAGTGCTAAACACATACGCCGTATCCCACGGTAATGACTATAATTTCAGATCCATATGCATTTCACTCATTGATTTGCTCTTTGTTTAACTTCTATTATTCAAGAGCATGTGGGTGTTAAAGGTACATACAAATACCTATTGCAATTGTTTCAGATTACTTCTCTCCTAAATTTGCACATTTAATATTTTCTAATTATTGTTTAATGAAAAGTTGTATTTAATATTCAGCAGAGCATTTCACAGGATTTAAGACATACCCAAGAAAGGAAAGAAAATTCAGGTCAAAACTGGCACGTAATAGAGAATGTAGATCCAGTAAAGCCCCACATTTTCCGGAAAACCTTGATCACGCTTTCTAAAACGGCATGTCATTTTCCACGACGTGTGCTGTCATTCACAGCAACTCAGATGAGAGTTCCACATAACAGTGATCTCTCTTTGTGATCATTTAAAACCACATATGCATCATTCTGAGTGTGAGCAAGGTATTGCATACATATTGTTGTAAAAGACCCAAGGGTGCAGGGATTCTTCGTTAGGTGACCAAAGCATCAGAAAGCCACCTTTGTGCCCAGGTAGGAACCAGTCCGGCAGACTGGCATATCTTTAGACAGGGGTGGGGAACCTTTTTTCTGCCAAGGGCCATTTGGATGTTTATAATATCATTCGTGGGCCATACGAAACTATCAACTTAAAAATTAGCCTGCTCTGTTTGGTCAGACATTTAATTAACTCACCCCTAATGTGACGGCTGGAACTGCTTCTCTTCAGTGAGGCCTTGGCGGGGCCAGACCAGCTGATTTTGAGGGCCGTATACAAGATATTTGAGGGCTGGATGTTCCCCACCCCTGCTGTAGAACATCACAAACACAACAAACACCTGCACCAATTTCGTGGTCACACAACACACATTCACCCCCATCGCTTTAGATGAGTCCCAAATGCTCAAACCTGTTTTTCTGCCACCCTCCCTCAGAATCACAGATTCACGGTGTTTATATCAGGATGGAGCTCAGATTTCATATAATGATAACTCTGTGACACAGTCTTTCAAAGGTCCACGTCAGAGATATTTACTCCTGAACCAATGTGGAGAGGTGAGAATCAGAGCCCTCCCATCTACGTATTTAACAGACCTGTTAGTACTTCTTGTGTAGGTTTTCCCCAAATTATTGGTTTGCTTCCCTAGAATAGGTATGTACGTTTCCGATTTTGACTACAGCTTTCTTTTTCTCCCCTCTCTTTATTTATGCCTGGCCAAGTTTTGGCAGTGATATTAATTTTTAAAAAATGATTACAAACCTATCAGATGCAAAACTGGTTTTTATTGTAGCACAAATAAACATTACCTACTTGTCTTCTTCACCATGGTTTGAACCTACTACTATGGGATTGGAAACATCTCTCTTCTCTTTGGATATTCACCATTTTTTTTGAAGGACCAGAAAAGCATAATAGCAAGTTACATAAAATTAAAATGTTATATAGCCAATAAATAGATCTGCTGAGCCCCAAGCTCATGTGTAGATTCAATAGATGCTTTTCAGCGTTTCTTTCAATAGTGTGAGCTGAACAAATCATGCTTGGAAAGCAAGAGATGAATCTGCCAGTAACACGTTTTAATTATCATGATAAAAACATGCAAACAAAACAATAGTCTTCACTGGAGCCCAGAGAGCCATTAGAATTATGGGATGGCATCCCCCTTTATCAGAAGCTCTTAGATCTTTTCATTGAAAGTCCCAGCTCAGATGTTTTAACCCTTTATTTCACTTGACATTCTCACACTCAGTCACTCTCCCTCTCTGTTGGAGGTGAGCCCACAGCCAAGTTATATAACTACCTGTCTCCACCTGAACCCCTGCTAGTGCTCAGACCTTCATGCCTTGATCTGAGTCTCCTATTGAAAAATAAGCGCTCTGACCACGGGAGATGGTGAAGGCTTCTACCTTAAGTTATTCTTAGCTGTTTGTATCTTATTATGAATTAATCAAAAGAGCTAATTCTGTAACCTAGCATGATATACATGGGACCGGCAAGTGCCAAAGCCTTAAGTCAGCTTGGGTCTTTATCTTGGGGTGTGGCCCATGGGGGAAGACACCCTGACTATGTGTGACTGTCCCTAGCACATGGGGGTGGGGTGTCATGCTGGAGGGAACAAAGAGGCAGTAGAGAAAATACAAAATGAAAGAAAAGGGATTTGTTAAGACCGAGCCTTGAACACATTTGAAAACAGCCAGTGTGGCTAGTCTGTCAGGGTATTTGACCTCCGTCTCTGTTCTCTTTCCGAGATGACACTGACAGCCTGGGCACTGGCAACTCTACAAGGCGCGGAACTTCTACGGTACACGATGCAAATCATCTTGAAGCGAGGAGACCCCATGTGCATTGGCAACGGGTGTGCAGAAAGTCATTTGTTTCTTGGTGTAAAATAAAATCCCAAGGGCATGCATTGTACCTATTTTCTTTACAGGGGGCTCTGGGATCAGTCTACTCTAAGGAAAACCAAAGACGAGAGAAGAAAATAAACCTCTCTTCTCGTCTCAGTGTTGTGCTGCGATATTTTTCTACCATCTGACTACAGGGCAGATGCTCTTTCCTAAGAAATCTAATGCGGGGACATGAGCACAGGGAAGGGAGCGGAAGGGAGCGATTGCTGACAGGAAGCTGCAAAAGCATCGATTACAAGTAATGATGATCGAGACAACTTTAAACTATTCATAAGCTGATTAAGAAACCTGTGAACATTGGCTGCCCCCAGGAACCTCGAGTCTTTATTCTGTGGATGGCTTTTTCTTTATCGCTTTCTAAGTCGTTAGTTAGCATTCCTATGGGGAGGGGAGGTGGTGAAATGAAACCGGGAGAGAAGTTAGTACTTATTAATTAAAATGACGTGTAGCCTTGGGTGGACCTGGCAGGCTGGGCCTTGGGAAACTATGGGGATCACGTATCATGAGGCAGAAACCTGTGAACTCCATCCCTCTAAGCCCATTTCGTGCTATCGCCCGAGTCTACACTGGGGAAACCGAGAGGACAGACAGGACTTATTCATCATGTTCTAGTCTGCGTAAACGTAAGTCCTATCCCAGCAGGCTACTGGCCTCTTGGTTCGAGGAGACACTAGCTGCCTCTAAAGACACCCATCTCCCTTCAAGAAACTCCTCACAAGGCCACTGTCACGCCGCCTGGGAGCAAACCCGTACCTGCAGAGCTATTCTTCGTCCAGGTCTGTTACAAACTGAGAGTGGTGTTCGGGTGACTTGCTGTGCGTTTTGCTTAGGTGGAGTTTTACTGCATGTTTGCTCACAAATGTCCGAGAGCACAACTTACACTTGAACTTAGAGTCTGTTTCCTCTTCGCCAGCTATGGTTTCCGGGGACCTCTGGGCCGATGACACCCGGGAGACCTCCTGCTCCACCTTGCTTTGCTGCTCCACGGCCATGCGCGTCATGTCCTTCATTTGGAAACCTAGGTGAGATTCTAAGTGACTGATGTAGGTAGAAGGGGTTCTGAACTGGGAGGCACAGTCACTACAGTAAAAGATGGGGTGTCCTTTGTCCATGTTTTTCAGAAATTTTGTCCCGCCCGTTTTCCTAAGCTGGTACTTGACGTTGGCCAGCCAGTGGCTGATAGTGGTCATTGAGAGTCCCGTGAACTTGGAGATCTGCATTCGCTCCTGCGGGCCCAGGTCGGACAGCAGGTACTTGCCTTCCGACGTCTGGAAGAGGCTGGAGGCAAACTGGGCCTGCAGGATCAGAAGATGCTGAGGGTTCCAGTTGGACTGCCGGCCTTTTCTTTTATGCAAAGTCGAGACTTCGCTGGACACGTCCTCGAAGCGCCTGACGTCCATTTCCAGCTTCACGGGAGGGACCCTGGAGGAAGCGGCCGGCTTCGGGGTGGTGGCTTTGGGGAGGACCTTGACCATGTCGGCGATGTCGGAAAGCGCGTGCTTCTGAGGGGGGGACGTGCAGGATTGTGCTTGGGAGGACTCGGCCTTCTTGCTTTTGGACTTGGTCAGGTCGATGGGCTGGTCGTTGTTCTCAAACAGGTAGCGCCTGGACACGCTGGCCGGTCTCGCGGTGGCCGGACTCAACACCGGCTTGTCCACGACACTGAGATTCGACTTGTGGAACATGGAGATTGTGCTTGAGCTCGGGCTGGAGCAGGAAGGGGAGCGCAGGGGCTCCGTGGCTTTGCCCAGGTGATTGTTCAAGACCGACTGCAGGGCGCTGAGCGGGTTGATGCAGGGCAGGGCCGAGGCGTGGTTGGCGAGGGCACAGCCGTTGCTGAGGGAAGACGCTGGCTCCAAGGGCTGGGGTTTCTCCTGCTCGCCGCCCTCTTTCATCAGCTTGTCTTCCTCCTTCGGGGGACGAGGCTCGGCCTTTTTGGGTTCGGAGGGGGTTTCGCTGTTGGAGAAAGACTCCCCCTCGCTGTGGCTGAAAGACGACGCCTCTTCCTGGGGACTTTCTTTCCCACACTCCTTCCCGATTTCATCTCCGTCTTCTGGCTCCTTCTTCACTTGAGTGTACGGGGCCAGGTTTGGGGGCACGGAAACCAGAGGCATTACTTTCCACTTGGGAGCAATCGGCCTCAACTTGTTGGCGAGATTGGGCCGAATCTGCAGGACCTGCGACCCCAGAGGCAAGGAGGGCTTGGCGCCCTCCGACAGCTGGTAGGCCGCGTGGATGCTGGGGTACGCGCTCCAGCTGGGAGCCCCGTTCTGGGCCTTGTTGATGGCTGTGGTGACGGTGTTCTCCAATGACTTCAAAATGTCCCCGCCACCCTTGGAGCCGTCTTCCAAGTCCTCCTCCCTCAGGTACTGGTACTTGATGGTGGGGTCTAAAGGTTTCTGCAGAGGATCTTCATATTCCTCGCTTTTCATGGCTTTCCCATCCTTGTGGGTCTCCTCCGGTTTTTCTTTTTTACTCTCCCTCTTTGCCTCAGTCGTAGAAGCTGCGCAGTCGGAAGCCGAGTTACTCGATGGCTTGGGGGCCAGAGCATCGCTGTTCGGGGCGTCCGACAAAGACTGCATTTTCTCCACCGCCAGCGGGTCTAACACCAGCTGCTTCCCTTTCTTGGAGGCAGAGCTGGTGACCTTGAGAAAGTGACCTGTGACCATCATGTGGGTGGTGAGCTGCTGCAAGGTGTCGTGGGAGCTCCCGCACTCCATGCACTTCAGGATCTGGGACTTGCAGGCCTCGAACTGCCAGGTGTAGCTGGCGCCATTCTGGTAGCCGTAGCGGTTGTTGGAGGACAGCGGCAGGCTGGTGTTCTTGGGGGAAGAGAAGGAATCTGCGAACGAGCCCGTGGTGGAATCGGGGGAGCAGGGCCGGTTGACGTCAAAGACGCGTTTCTTCGCCGGGGCGACCACTTTCGACGAGATGGTTGGGACCGGCTCCTTCAAAGGCACTTTTTGGTAATGTTTTGTTTTTATCATGTGGACGCTCAGATCTTGGAGGGAATCGAAGGAGTCGCCACAAAACATACATTTCAGAACCTTCTGGGCATCCTCCTTGTCCATGTCTTGGAAGGCCCGTTTGCGGGGCTTGGAATAGCTCGTGGGCCGCAGCTTGTCCTTCTTGCGGTTGTCATCTTGGTAGTGGCCCGTTTCGTTCATGTGCACAGTCAACTCGACCAAGGTGTCGTAGGCGGCGCTGCACTGGCGGCACCGGAACCTGCTGGCCCCGGTGAACACGGTCCCGCACATCTTGCTGCTCTGCCGGTACAGCTGCACCGAGCTGAACAGGCTGGGCTTCGACACGGACCTGGAAGGCAGGTTCTGCTGCAGGCTTTTGGACAGGGCGTCTTGGTGCCAGTCGAAGTCCGTCTTGCTGCTGCCATTTCGGGCGTCGCAATTCCGCCTGTCGCTGCTGGACAGCTTGAAGCCCAGGCCCAGGCCCGACCAGTAGGAGTCGGACAAGATGTTGGCGTAGACGGCCGTCATTTTGTCCATGCAGCTGTGGGCCTCGCCCGGCAGCTTGGGGTGGGCGCCCGCTTTCTTGTCGGGGGCATCGCGGCCGCACACGCTCTTGATGTCTGACACGGGGTCGCTGGCGTCGCTCAGCAGAGACTCGTTCTCGGCGTCCTGGTTGGACAGGTGGCTCCCCGGGGAGTTCTGGTAGCTGAAGCAGCCTTTCTGCTCCGGACCCATGTCTAGCTCCTCGTCGGTCCCGGGGTCATTGCTGCTCTGAAGCTGGACCCCCGAACCGCTGTCTTCGTCTTCCTCTTCTTCCTCCTTGATCTCCTCGTCCTTCAGCTGCTCCTCCTGGGCGTAGCCTGCAGGGCGAGAGGAAGAGGTGAAGCAGCAGCGCCGGGCTACAGATCCCGCCCCACCTCCCCGCCGGGACGGAGCCCCCGCGCCACGCGGGGAGCAGCTCCGGCCACGCTCCGGCGAGCCGCAGGCCACGGGTACAGGAAACAGCCGGACCATGCCTTTCGTGCCACCTTTTTAATGGGCAGGAGCCGTAGTTCTTTACAAACGCCTAGAATGCCAAGTTAATAATGTCCATGCCTGAGGACTATCACTCTAACACTCCTACAGTGAGTGGGACAGTCGCTAAGTTCACGTGTACGACTTTCGGGAAAGCTGGACTAAAATTCAAATCCTATGAAAGACATATCTCTACAGAGAAGGACTTTGGCTCCTAGGAGAACTAAGACTCGACCCTTGGCATCTCCATGGTGAGGTTTACCAAGACGCCTGGCTGTACTGGCACGCCATCACGTTAATAAATTGCATTTCAGCGCTCTGAAGTAATTTGGATGCATAGCCTTTATATATTTGATAGCCAGTGTCCTTTTGTTTTATTTTTATTTGCAGAGTGTCGCACAGCAGGAAGGGAGATTATGGAGTCCAGAAAAAGATAGCCAAGAAATTATGTAAGCTCAGCAAACATAATGATTTTAAAATAATAGCAAATGGCGTCGGGATGGGAGATTTGGGGCTGTTGTGTTATTCGCAAACAGGCTTATGAAGAACTTTCAGACAAGGCTGAAAATTCCCTCTCAATCTTGTGCCTGTAATTTCAAATGCACTGTGATTTGTGGGGACCCGTCATGAGGTGCCAATTTTACGTTTGATTTGTAGGTGTAAAATGCTATTGGGTATGCATGCCTTCCCCTCTCTGAAAGGATTTAGGGCCTGTAATTGCATGGGGAAAATGAAGGCATGAGAGAGTGGGCACAGGGGGAATGCATGGGCAAATAGCCATCCATGGAGATGAGGAGTGGGACTATTCGTGCCCACGTGCTCCCTTTCTTTACCTGGCCTTTCCAGAGCCATGTGCATAAAATGCAACCAAAGGAACACAGAAGCAAGGCCGACTCAGCCTGAGATTTGCAAGCCTGCATGATCTAGGTACACTGTCTTCCTCATGAGGGTCTGTCTCCCCCTCAGTGCGGTGGGAGAAACCCCAGGGCCGTGGTGATATTTCCATTCACCAGGGAAGGGAAAGGGGTCATCAAGCATTGGAGGTCTGTCCTGTAGGTAGGCGGAGGGTTAGGAGAGAAGGAGGTTTGTTAGGGAAAAAGCAGCTGCGGCCAGGAACTCCAGAGGCTCCTGCTGCTGACGAGGAAAATTTAGTGGGCAATTGCCCTCTCCTAAGAACTGTGCCGACCACACTGCAAATACATTCTTTCCTTTCACCTAATACCCACACGAAGTAGGACCTATTATTATTTCCATTTCACAGATGGGGAACCTGAGGCTTTCAGGTTAAGAAATTTGTTCAAGACCACGCAGCTGGTATCCAGAGTCATGACATGAACCCAGTCTGTCTCACGAGAGAATCCATGGTCTTAACCACCAGGCTCCACTCTCTATTACCAATCAAACAAATAAGAAAACATTGCAGAGACCCCAAGGTTAAAGGCTAAGCAGTGGAAATTCACCAAAATGTCACTAAATAAATAATCACCTCAGAGGGGAGAATTGTGGGAGTGCTGGAGACAAGAGCTCATGATTTTAAAGGCATGATACCATAAACAAGATGAAATGTAAAAATCGAGTCTAGCCACCAGCTTCATGGCTGTGCTCGGTATTTCATCGGTATTGGTGTAGTGTTTTCACTTTCCTAGCAAGTTGACAAGTGGGTTTTTCATTAAACTGGTGTGCTGGTTTCTAGTTCCGTATATTAATTTCAAGAACACAAAAGCTACTCAATGTAGTCAAACAACCATTAATAAGTAGTCACTACTTGCAAGAAAACTCTAGTTTAAAATAGCTGAATGGCTGAATTAGACCACCCCACTCAACCTCATCGCATTTTCTTTTTCTTGGACCGGTTTGCATGTTTGCAAAAGGACCGATTTGTATATTCGCATTAGTTTCAAGGAGAATGCCTGTTAGGAAATTAATAAAGGAAATTCTTACAGAGCCAGGCACAATGCTTCAAAGAATCAGGCAAATTTTGTCAACTGCGCAGGGTCACTTTTGAGAATCAGAAGGGCTTTATGAGTCGCACTCTGGGACAGCAGGCGTTAGCCACGACTAGTGTTCTCAGCTAAGACATACAGTCACCACACGTATGGGGAATGTGATCACAGCCACAGAGAGAGGTGTGTGCCCGAGTGCACACGCAGCCCCGCCGGGACAGTCATTTTGCACAAGGAGGAAAGAAGTGTCTTTTTCCCTGCTGACATTTGGAAGCCGAGCTCTCTGGACCTGCTCAACTCCACAATCTACTTTGTCCTTCTAAACGGATTCCCCAGAAGGGAAGTCGGAGACAGCCAACGCCTCCCCCACAATACAGATAAAATTTTCTGCGTAATTAGGCATTGACATGTTTACCATAACCTTTACAGAGAGTAGCTCGTGCTGAGAGACCCTTTTTGTCTGTTTTCTTCTGCAGAACAGACTAAAATCGCATGCACCCGATAAGGAAGCACACTGAAAAGCCTCATTAAAAAAAAAAGTGCCAAAGCATCCGTCAAAGTCAGTGTGCTTGAACAATGGCTGCCGGCTCCAAGGAGTTTTTAAAAACACATTTTAATATCATACATTTAAAACTGCTCACTTCACTTAAGTGGTTTTGTTTGCCACCTGCAGCTGGGGCTGGGGAGGGAAGAAAGTGGGGGGGGTGCTCGGGGTGGATCATGAGTGTCTGTCTGTCTCTCTCTCGATGATTTGTTTATTAAGATTGCTTCATGTGAGAGCTTGGTGAAGCGGATGAGTGGCAAGTTTATCCTTACGAACACTTATTTAGCAAAAGAAGACGGCCGCGATGACGCCGAGACACGAGAGAGAGGACCTCGCAGTCTATAGAACCTCCTTGATTCCGGGTGAAAGATCAACCATCTTTCGTTCCCACCGAGATTTCTCACTTCACCCCCTTCTGCCGCCCAACTCTGGCCACAGGGAGCGGCTCCATCCCTGGGACAGCTAAGTCATGAGCAAAGCTGATGGTTCTCTGTGTAAATGGCCAGTGGACACGAGGGATCATTTCTGTTCCACTCCCGGCCCTGTGCTCTGACTGGTCCACCGTTATTGCTCACTAGGGTCACAAAATGTTCCAGCCTGTTTTTCAAAGAGCTGCTGGAATGCTCTCTGTGAAAGGTATGAGGTGGTGACACTGCTCTGTTTCAACTCCCACAAAGCCACCCCGCTGGGCTTACAATGCAATCCAAGCCCTCAACGTGGCGTCGGGGCGGGCGGGATTGGGCCTGGCCTCTCGCTCTCCTGCTGTCCACGTCTAAGGCTCAACGGCCTGCTTGTTCCCATTTCACCCACAGTCCTCCCCTTGACTTCACTTCTTTGCAGCTGCAGATTTCTCTGCCTGCAAAGTTCTTCCTCTGCCCCCACCCCCAGTTCCTTCTTTTTCATTCCTCAGGTTTCAGCACAAATTGCCCCTTCTCTGTGCAGCTTTAGATCACATCAACCTACTTACTGAGACCCTATAGCACGTAATAGACTCTGAAATCTTGTTTGTTTCTGATGGTCTCCTTCCCCTAGACGTAAAGATCCAATGTCTGTGCCCCTGAAGACAGAGACTTGCTCTCCCAGCACGGGGAGCCCACCCTGGCACAGAAGGACGCCCATGAGCGAGACCGAGTGAATGCGAGTAGGTCATGCAGTGAAAGGGGTTATTCCAGCGGCAAACTCAGACTCCCCTTCTCAGCCATGTAATTAGCACCTGTGATGGGTGAAGTCCCCCACCCCCAACGTGTGTGAGGTGTGAATTAGAATCACCCCGATGAATTTTCTCAATGATGAAAGACTGCAGATAAGCACCGAGACTGCAAAGCGTCAGAAGATACACTCTTAATGGGAGGAAACTTTGATTCAAAAAAGATTCACACACGGGAACTTCGAGAGTGCGGACTAATCTCTCACGGATGAAGTGCGTTGGCGGCTCCAATGCCTGTGACACGACACCAGGGTGGACTTCTCGCAAAGTTTTGATTTAAAAAAGGAGACATGTATTGGAGAAATACATATGCTGCAAATTTCTGAATTTCAGAAAGAAACCCCTAAATTTTAGAAATTACCTCTTACATCAAAGCTTAAAAACAAAAAAGAAACAATTGAAAAAAATTACCACCTCAATTGCTCCAAAAAGGTCTATTCAGAATAACTTAAATGAATTTGTCCAAAATAATTCAGGGGCTGCCTGATGTCCGGTATCAGATTTTTGGCTGGGTTATGTTTTTGCGGTTGCCTTGAAAATCCACAGTAAGGTGTTTACGGTAAAAACACTGACGGGTTTGCAAGTGGCAACGGAGGTAAACAGCTGCAAACGGTGCAGCATGTAAAGCTCCAGAAGGCCGGTTTCCAGACGCTAGCCCGGAACTCACCCAAGACCTCATTTAAAAACACATCCGGGGGTGACAGGGTCATTTTCGCCAACCTACCCCACTCAAATGACAGTTTAAATCACACGGAGGTTCACAGTGGGCAGGGCGGACGTAAATGAGGAGTCTGCAAGAGTTTCTCGCCGCGTACCCGGTAGGTACTTGAAGCGATGACACGCGGAAGGTATTCCTGTCACGCGCCTCTCGTGTTTTGGTGGCCGTGGTCTAGAGACCTGCTAATGCGGCTGTTATTACTGGCACTAACTGGCACTCTTGCTGACAGGCTGAGGGAAGAGATGAGGGCTCTGCTGGAGGAGGCTGAGCTCCATGTCAGTGGTGGCCAGGCCCTGGGTAGGCCCCTTGGAGGGCCGTGCGCAGGGGCCCCGTCTGCTTTGTGTTTCAGGAGGTGATAAGGGTAGGGGGCGGTGGGGACCCCCGACACCATGCCTGAGCACAGACTTCACTTTACAGAGACTCCGGGAACACAGCCTCCCTGCCGTCTAAAGAAATCATCCAAGCTCGTGCGCGTTTCTGAATAGGGGACGTCTCCACGGGAAAGACAGCGTTCCTGGCACATGGATTTTTATCCCCGCCACACCACGTACAGCTCATTAACGCGAGTGCGACCTGCGCGCACAGACG